ATACATGTGGCATATATATACATGTACACATAAATGAAAATAAAATTTTTAAAAATGATAGTGTTTTGCACTTCAAGTAGCATGAGTCCATAGAATGGGTACAGAGAGGTAACTACACAACAGTTGTAAACAAGATCCATAGCTCTGGCTGGTCTGGAATAGACACGGATATGGACATGTGTGAGGAAGTAGGGGGAGTCTCATAGCTAAAAAACCAGTCCTCAGAAGCATTATTATCAGACACTGAATCCAATTCTGGTATCTCCTTGATCTTGGACTTCCAGATCCCAGAACTGTGAGAGCTAAACTCCTCCCATTTATAAACCATCCAGTGTGTCAGTCAGCTTTCCACGGCCATAGCAAACACCTGAGATAACCAGTTCTACAGGGAGAGGTGTACATTGGCTCATGGCTTCGAAAGGCTGGACCCACAATATTCCAGCTTCTTAATGATTTACTCAGACACGTACATAAGTCTGTTACATGATTTGGTCTTTAATCCAGATTGTACCTTAATCCAGGTTTTATTTTGTCTCCAAAGGTGGTGTATGATTGACCCTTCCTTGATCGTTTGCTGGACTGTCTGACCTGATCATGACTAACTCTTAGTTTGTGTCAAGATCTGTGGTTTGGTTTTCCAGGCTGCTGAGAGCAACTGCAGGAGTCACTTTTGATTCAGAAAAAAAAAAAAAAAAAAAACCCAACAAAACCATATATCCGTGTGGGTCTGACTCAGCACAGACACATTTATTTAGGGATTATCAATTTTACAGAGCACCGTGGGTCCTCGTTAAAATTTCAGCTGTTCAGACATGCCATGCCATGGTGCAGGTTAGTATCATAGTAGATTTTGACGAACTTCAAGAATAGAGCCTTATAAGGGAAATGGTGGTGTAGGGTGACAATGTGGGGGACACAGGGCAAGAGTGTGGCCCAATCTTCAAATATCCCTGAGCCAGGAACTGACCCTCCTTAGTCCTCAGTTTCCTTTTCTGTAAACACAGGCATTGACCACATTTACCAACTCGTTAAAGTTTTTTCAGCTTTAAGATTCAGTGTTCCGACCCGTGGTCTCACTGATCACCCAAACCAAGAAACCCCAAAAATAGACAAAAGCAAAGAAACCATGACTCCTTAACAGGCCAATAGCGTTACCCTTGACTCTTCCTTGCTGTGAGCCCAACCTTGCTGTGCATGTGGGGCCTGCAGTGAGCCAAGGCAGAGGCCAAGCCTTCCCAGCCAGGAAACCTACTGTTATTCCCTACTTACATCTCACTGTATGGTGGGCATTGTTCCATGCTCAGGAAACAACAGACCCACACCAGGAAAGTTCAGAAGCTTCCCTCAGGCATACAGCTGGATAGCCGTGAGGAAGCTGAGCTATGGTGATTCCAGGCAGTCTGGCCCAACAGCTACCCTCAGAGGTTAGGATAGCAGGCTCCATCATCTAGGGGCCTGTCTTCATGCCCTAGGGGACCCAAGGGACACAGGAGGCTGTCAGCCAACAGAAAAAAAGTGCCAGAGGGACAGAAGGAAAAGGTTTCTGCCCTTGGGGTTGTCTATATTGGTAATGGAGGATCCTGAAGAAGGGACAGGCACTTATTCGGACCACCCAGCTGGGAGGCTGGGAGACCGGGAGACTGCCAGCTGATCCTCCTGGTGCCTGTGAATCGGCAAAAGAAGACAAGTTTGGAAGTCAGGGGAGGCGTCAGATTATGACTTTACCTGATCCTTGACCCTCAGCATGAGTGGGATTTATCTGCTAGTGGAATAGACACCACCCCTGGAACAGTCCAGATCGCAGGCAATCTAGAGCAGTTCCGCCTCCAAGCAGACGTGCACCCCTCAACTCAGACCGTTTCCCCACCCTCCAGATTCTAAAGGTCCCACTTTCCTGTGATTTTTACTGCTCAAGGGGCATGCGAAACCAAGCTTCCCTCATCTGTGGCACCTTGCCATCTGACACTGTGCTTGCTGACTGACTAAATTTACACCTTAGACTAAACGTTTAACTTGCAACTGTGCTATTGACTCAGGTCATAAAGATAGACCAGAGCCTCCTCTGAAGGCTGATCTGTTTCTGTAAAGAATGGCTTAGTAAGTTACTCATTTTTCATAATTATGCCTAGATTCTAAAGAACTCTGTCTGCACTTTACTCTCTAGGTATTTCATATTTATAGCATGTCCCCTCTTTCTGCTAAGGGAAAGCTTCCTTTTTCCTCCTCAGTCTCCACAGTCCATCTGATCCCTTCGCCAGTGAGCCTTCTGAGTTTCAATTTCCTCCTACCATCATTGACTTTTGATCTTGAAGCAGAAGGATTGTACTTTTATTAGATTTAATTTGCTATAAGGCCCCTGGTTCCCTGTGAATCGCACCATAACAGTCAATGAATAATCACAGGGCTGGGCCAGGCTGGGCTTAAATTCTGCTCAGTAACTAGGAAACCAACCAAGAACAGGAAAGAGAAAAACGTCAGGAACCCAGATGTGGATCCACTGTGTTCCTGAGCATGTAATTGCTCGATGCAGAGGTGGATCAGCCACCAAGCAGGACCCAGGTGCGGGCTGCTTGGATGAACCCAGGCGTTGTCCCCATAAGATGAAGGTGCCAGGAGTCTGGAACCCCACAGATCTGCCATTGATGATACCATTTTAGTTTAAGCTTCATACATTTAGACACCTGTTAGAGTCTAGTTGTCCCCTCCTTCTATTTGTGTGTGTGTGTGTGTTGGTTGGTTGGTTTGGACAAAGAAACTCTGTCATTCTATCATTTTGAGTCCTTCTCTACTGTGCTCCCAACCTTGCTGATAAATGCTATATAGATTTGGCTCAATGTCAAATCAAAGTCTAAGGACACAGGTGACATGCTCAGCTCTTAACTGGCGAGGAGATCCGGGACTAAGAACTGAGGAAGGTTCTGGGTGTTCACAGGCCCATATGATAGCTTCCCCTCTGAGCTCTCTGCTCAGTATCATCAAGTACCACATTATAGCTATCGGCCTGAGGAGCAATACCTCCACTCAGGGAGCCCTTCATTGGCCCAGAGAAGCCCCTGAGCACCTAGTACTGAGCACCCACAGTCTCCAGAGTAGGCACGATGGAAAAATGCTGTCCTACTGTGGGTACCTGAGCTTCAAGAGCTGGCCACATGTAAGCCAAGCATCTCAGACAGACCACCAAGAACATAGGAACAACATAGGCCAGGGGAGGGCTGGGGGTGGGGGATGGGGGGCGTGGGTGGGAAACACTATTATCTGCAGTCCAGACAAGTCAGTAGTTTCTGCTATGGCTTAAAAAAATAGTCAACATATGCTACTCCGTGTCTCCATGGTAACAAGACTAAGGAATCTGTATTTCATTTATGGAGTTCCTCCCTTAACCTGGGTTCTCTGATCTGGACCTGAATATACACTGAGACCTCTTCAGGAAATGTCAGCTCCCTCTGAGCCCAGTTGCTGTAATCCAGCCACCATGGCCTTGACCCCTGCAAAGGTGATGCTAGGAGGGACATCAAGTGTAACAGTATCTCAGTTAGCCAAGAAGTCCAGATGGGGAGTTTCCATGGAAACTAGGAACCCTGAGTACCACAGCAGCTGGGCCCTTCCTCTGCCTTCTCAGTATGGTGTGTAGCAACTGTCAGCCAGTGGTCTTACCTAAGCCAGGCTTCTTTAATTTCATACACATCTTTGGAGTCTCATGTAAACCTTTCTGCTAAATATGAGCATCCGAGCCTTCAGGTTAAGGGTCATGGGCTCAGTGCCTTCAGACCAAACAAATGGTAACTACTACAGTGTGGCTGGCGTTTCTGACCATGGGTTTGGGAAGCACGGGTACTCGGGTTCCCATGCGGGACTTTGTATGTACTTGACCTGGCAGACTATTTAGGCTGCAGTTCAGTTCCTTCCCAGATAAAGTGGAACACCAATGACTTGAAGAATTAGGATGACTAACCGATGATGATACAGAGTAGTCATCCAAGAAAAGCTAGTCCAGGCTGGCTCCTGCTAAGGCACCGCTCAGCATTAGGGGGCGCCTCTCCCACCCAGGCGGTAGGCGCGGCTTCCCAGGAACTGCGCGGCTCCGCACGGTCCACTCGCAACTCGGCCACGCGCCCACTTTGCACCTCCCTAACCTCACTCAGAGCCTTTTCATGACGGAAGAGCCAGAAATCAAAGCGCACGCGTAGCTCCAAGCACAGAGCCAGTTCCGCCGCAGACACCTACCCAGCCAACCCGAGCGCCAGCAGCCGGGACCTGGGCAGGTGTAAGCGCCAGGGACGCGCGAGAACCGCGACCCGAAGCAGGCCGGGCTCCGCGCTGCACCTTCGGGGACGCACCGCAGTACCAGGTCCCCATCCCGGGGGCCAGCAGGGGGCGAGGTGGCAGGGGGACAGGCCGCAGGGGGGCCAGGTGGCAGGGGGACAGGGCGCAGGGAGGACAGGGCGCAAAGCAGCCCGGGCGCAAGGTAGCCCGGGCGTACGGGGGGACAGTGCGCAGGGTAACCAGGGCGTAAAGGGGACAGGGCGCAGGGAGAACCTCCCCGGAAGAAGCCCGGCCTCGGCCGCCGCTGTCCGCGCCTCCGCTCCCGCGGGCCTGCGCTCGCCCCTCCTCCCCGGCTCTCTCCGCCTCCTTGCCCGTCCCCTCCCCCGGTCCCCTCCGGCCCTCCCCACTTGCTGAAGAGCGCGCGGCCCGCGGCCAGGCTGGGTACTTCCTCCAGCGCCGCGCAGAGCGTGGAGTGGTCGCTGCCGAGCCCCGCGCACCCCGATCGGCCCCGCGCGTCCGGATCAGCCCCGAGGCGAGCCGAGCCAAGCCCTGCGCTCCCCGAGGGTACGGATCCCCAGCTGCCGCCGCCCGTCCGCCACCCCGCACCGGCTCCCGTAAGGCCGGCCCCGCGCGA